ATGTTGATCGCCAAAACAATGACAGCGGCATTGTCTGCTTTGGAAACCTTTGCTGCAGATTCCAACACTGCCTGCGCGGCAGCTTCTGAAGACCGACTTTCGCGCAGCACCTTTCGAGCGGTTGTTAGGACTGTCTGTTCTTGAAGCGCATCCCATATGCCATCCGTGGCGAGCACCACAAACTCTGTGCTCTCTTTCACCGCCACCACTGTGACCTCCGGCTTGCAAATCAGCCCGCTGATCTTGGCCCCAGTCTTGCACTCGATATCCCCGAATGCCCGGGAGACTTGGACCTTACCATCCACATAGCCTCCATCGATCGAGACTCCGAGCTGCTGCAGGCGGTACTTCTCTCCCGAGTTTTTTTCAGGTGAGTGATCCACTGTCTTGGTTGCGACCTTGGCACCGTCGCAGATCACCGCTCGGCAGTCGCCGAGGTTCACAAACAAAAGCTCCTTCTCTTGGAGAAGAGCTACACATGCCACTGTCCCGGAGGACGTGCCCGACGGTGACAAACTGGCCTCGTCAGCCAGTTCTTGTTTCATACAAGACTCTACTGCTTGGAAGGCATCGTCAATAGCTTTCTTCTTGTCGCTCGCAAGCCGCAGATGTTGATCCAGCTGCTTTGGGAGAAGCTCCTGGGCGAGCTTGGCAGCCTTGTCCCCACCGTGGCCGTCGAAGACAGCAACGCACGTGTGTCCCGCAACATCGCTGTGAACTGCAACCGCGTCTTCCATTTTAGCTCTATCATGCTTGGCTACAGCGAAGCCATACTCGGCTGTACCTCCGCTGCCATACTGTGGCAAACCTTCCGGCCCCTTGGCCCTCACGCCACAGCAATCGCAATAGTTGCCCATTGCCCCCTGCCAGGGTTCCCAAGGCTGAATCGAAGGACGTTGCACGATAAACTAACATCTGCTCAACCTATTCCACAGCCGTGTGTTGTGCACTTTGCCTTTGTAGATAAACTAATGTTCTAGCAGGGTCGAAGATGATACTCTGAAACTACCTGTTCTTCGAGTTTGAGCAACATTGCCCAGCATTGAGGTTCAAGTTGGCCTAAGATAGCATGCTGCGCTGCCTTTACCAGCTTGAGAAACCCTGAACCCCAGGCACAAGCTGTTGAATCTCTTGCTTTGAGGCGCCGCCTTGACAATAATGCGCACGCATGAATGCCAGCATGAGGGCTTGGATGTATGTACCGGTGTGTTGACGGATGGATGTGCCGCTACGGATGCGTAGTACAAGGCATGTCATTTCAGACCGGGCCTTCGGGCACTGGCGGCGGCATCACCTGCAAGGCAAGAAGCAGTCATGACCGGAGGTACGGGATGGTACGGGAGATAGCGGAATTAGAGACTTAATCCCCCGCAATGCCCGGAGAAAAACTGAAAGTCACTGGGCGATCGCGGTAGCCGGGCCTCTTCCACATTCCGCTGAGGGGCTTGGCCTCAAAGGCCATGGAGAGGGACTGCTGTTGATGCCCCGCACTTCCGAAACGATTTTGCACAGCTCATGGGAATCTGACATAATCTAAGTTCAAGTGCAGTTCAACGCCTGCCTGATTATCCGCTCTGCGCAACTTTCCCCTCGCGAACCTCCAGTTGCTAACACGGTAAGCTCCTCCTCGATGCCTTTCGGGAGCTTGACAAAGCACTCGATGTCCACAGCAACGGCAATGAATGCATGAACATGAGTGCGACCTATGTGGACCCAGGCCTGCATCCACGGAGTCCTGTGCAGAAGACCCGTTGTCCTCACCTGGAAGGAGCAGTGTTAGGAAAATGTGCTGTCGGCGCGTGTGAACTGGGGTCAGGGAAAATAATCATACTCCCACATACAACAATTCTCAGAAGCCGTTGCTCATTCCTTGCTGATACGAGTTCTCAGTTCCCAGCCTGTCGGAGAGACCAAGGAAACCTCCGGGGTCAGAGTTCAAGCCCTGAAGCCAACTAGGCACACGGACTCCGAAACCCCCTGGCCTCCGCTTCGATCTCTGCGGCCTGAGCCGCAGTGCTGCTAGGGCTTTGAGATCCACTTCCCCGAGGCAGAAACCAGGAATCCCTGAGCTCCCAACCTTTGCGGCGGCCTGGCACGCTCCCGGGGAGGGCTACGGTTTGTCCATGTTTGTCCGGACTCGGCCCCTACGTACAGACACAGAGGTGGCATGGTGGTTGAAGATTGCGAGGCTACTGGCCTGGTGGCCACTTTGGGAATTTCGAGACGAGCCCAGCCCAGCCCAGCCCAGCCCAGCCCAGCCCAGCCCAGCCCAGCCCAGCCCAGCCCAGCCCACAAAACATTTAATCCCAGAACCCAAAACCCCCCACAGCCCTGCAGCAAGCTTCCCGGTCCCCCCCTCCTCCCGAACCAGTAAATTTATTGAAATCCGGTTCCTCCGGCCCCCCCCTCCCGAACCAGTAAATTTACTCAAATCCGTTCCCCCTTTTTCTTTCCCGAACCAGTAAATTTACATAATTTACTCGAATCCGGTTCCCCACTTGGGTTCAGGCTGTGCTGTAGAAGATCCTGTTGGATGATATACTATGCCATAGAGTGCTAACAAGAACTGTCTTTGACGATGACCCTCAATGTGCCGTTGAAGTTGTAGATAAGCACAGTAGATGCAGTGCTTGGCAAGGTCCCCTACAGCCTGGCGCTGCTTCGCGGCCCGTCGTGCAGCGATCTGGCAAAATGGTTCCCAGATGAAGGCAGCTTTTCGGCCGAAAGCTAAGCTACTGAGATCCTAATGGATGAACCTGGGACAGAAGCACTCCAAAAATTCTAGACTTTGCATGAAAGCTCCCTGCCTGTGCTCTCCGCTCGGTGGCATTGAGGCCTGAGAGCATCACGGGGCAAGTAAGCGGCAGCTATGGTCTATGGTCCATGGTGGAGCCATAGTGTTCTCGGGCTTCCACTCCGCTGTGCCGAGCGCTTTGGCGTCGCCCTGAGAAAGGAACTCTACTCAACACACTTCGGAAAGACGAAGGGCATCCAAGTGCAATTATATATGCTCACGACACCCCACTGCTGTGCTTCTTGCCATGAGTCGTTTTCTTGAGCCTTTCCGCCCTTGACCCTACGACGGCTCGAGGTATAACAAGAATAGGCACAGGGGTGCCGGAGGCTCATTTCGCTCAGATCTGGCAGCTCTGTAGCTTTTGTCTTGCTTTGCCGCGTCATAAAACCTCACAGCGTCCCTCACCCCCAGGTCCTCTGCTGTTGCGCTGCCAGGAGCTCTTCTGCATGGGAGACAGAGAAGCCCATGCGTCGGCAGAGGCCCTGTCGATTCAGGCATCAAGGACCAGGGAGAGGGATCGGGTTCGATTCGCGGCTTACGACAAATCGCCTTCAGGCGAATTGACACGCATCAACGAACCGTCAAGCCTTCGCGATTCGGATCAGCGACATCTGAACGGCGAGGACATGGGGCGGCGGCCAGACCTTCTGAAATGCTCAGAACCATGTTCACAAATTCTAAGTAGCGCTTGCTAACCGTATGCCGCGCATCAAGTGTAGCCGGGGGGCAGCAGTGGGCAAAGGTCTTGAGTCGACTTTCCTTTGCATTGCCGGCTCCACAGATGTCGTACAAAGAACATCCCGCAGGGTGTCGATAGAAGCAACGGGAACTCCCAAAACATGAACCCGGGACAAGGTGGTGCTCTGCTGACCAGACTCCGCATGGAGAAGTGGCCCCAGATGTCGCCGGTCGTCGACCAAACCTCCGGATCTTCGGCTGGAAGCAGCAATCTAGGTTCGTGAGCTTGACGATGATCGGAAATGCAAGTAGAAGCCAATGGCGAGACAGGAAGAGCAAGAGTCAAGGACAGCTCGAGCACCGCACTAAGCAAGGACGACTAGGCTTGCACCAACGGCAGTAACAGGAGGTCCGAAGGCCAATGGCCCGCAGATGTCCAGAGCGCCTTGACCTCTTTGGCCGAATCCACAGAGACCAGGGCCGGCGGGCTGCCGCTGATCACCTGCAGAGGGCAACGCCGACAGCTGCAGGCTGCACACAGTCTTGGCATGCTGATCTTTATAGATTTCTGGTGAAATCAGTGGCACCGTTCTGCGAGCTTCCTTGGCTCAGCATATCAACATTTGGCATCGTCATCATCATCAACATAGCTACCATCATCACCATCATCATCAACAACAACATCCTCACCATCATCATCATCATCACCACCATCATCATCGCTGACGTTATCATCTTTGGCAGCAGCAGCAGCAGCAGCAGCAGCAGCGGCGGTGGCGGCCATTGTGGTGGCGGTGGCGGCGGCTGTGGTGGCGGCCATTGCGGTACCGCACGGTGCTGCCACTGCTGCTTCCGGTGCCGTTGGCCACTACAGCTGCTGCTGGCGCCAGCGATGACGGCCTCGTAGGTGGTCGGAGCTTCGCGGTTGTGGTCCAGAGTCTTGAAAAAAACCCATCGGATCAGGAAACCTAACCTGCCCCTCCGATCTGAAATCTCTTGCGGACTCTTTCGTGCAGTGGGTCCCGGATACCCCCAGGAGTCCCCCAGGCGTACCAGCGAGGAGATGCCCTGGCCGTGCGCAGGCCAAGCTCCCACAACCTGAATGGCCTGGCTCACTGTCGCTTCGCAGTCTTTCGGCGACTTGCAGTCGATACATTCCGTAAGGGGGGAAGGTTCAGTCCCCAGGGCTTGCCGTCATGTGCCTGGAGCTCGACTGTCATACTCAGGATTTGCGTGCGAGTGGTTCATAGGCTTTCGCAGAATCTAGAGGTGGAGTTGAAAGCTTTCTAGTGTTCACGGCGGCGCTGTTCTTCATGTGCAGCGACAGACATGTGGGGGAGCAATGTTGTTTCCAGACATACCCATGCAGAAGCGAGCTACTGTTTGCGTCTATTTGCCGAGAGCAAATGTCTGTGCGGTACAGATGTCCAGCGGATCGCTGGCTGTTTTTGCAGGCCACGCAGATCATCTGCAGGAATCGCAAAATCGAAGATCCTTGTTTCCCGGAAGACCCCTGACAAGCTTTCCAGATCTTGCTCAGGATCCCCGGCAACCACTGAACCACACCCGTCACTAGATATTGTCACGCACGGACGGGCTCGCTCGGAGCACCTCCGGTCTTTGCTTGGGCGGCAGGCCTCGGCCAAGTCATGGCGGAACCGGGGCAGCTTCAGGATTCGGGGCTTTCGATATCTTATACATATATATATATATATACATATATATTATATTATATATATATATATTAAATATATACATATATATATATATAGTATTATGTCGTCCGCATGCTAGCTCCTCTTGGGATTTTGGGGTATGAATATAACGTGGAAAAAACGTGAATACAAACGTGAAAAAAACG